CAGCTCTATGTGTTTATAGAAGTTGGAAACATGATTTAAATTCATGCCTTTTCTTGGCAATTTTAAACCAGTTACTTAAATTGCTTTGGTTTAAATAAATCTACCCTAATCACAACTGTTGGTGTTTTAATTTGGGGTCGTGGAAAGATGTCAATTTTTTTGTGGTGCTGGACAGCTCCATATGATGCAGTGGGTAGAGGGACTTCATACAGTCTAAATCCAAGATCTGTTTTAAAGAACCTTGCAGGACAGTTATCCTATTCCTCACATCTTTGCTTCCTCCCCTCTCTCACATCCTCCCCCTCTCTCACATTCTTTATTCCTTCTGCCCCCCTTTTCTTTCTCTCTATCTCTCCTCCATGCATGTTATTTCCCCTCTCTTTCTGCCCCTCATCATTCTCTTTGTTTTTTTCTGCACCGCCATCACTCTCTCTTTCTGCCCTCATCACTCTCTCAGCCTCCTGCCTGCTGCCTCCCCCACCCTGCACAGCAGCAACAGTGGTGACGGTGCTCCCAGCCACCCACCTGCTTCCTCCCCCCCCCCACAGCAGCAGTGGCAATGCTCTGGGCATCAGAATGGATCTCCTAGCTACCTTAGGGCACCTTAGGGCTGCCAGCTCCAGGTTGGGAAATTCCTGGAGATTTGAGTGTGGAGCCTTGGAACAGTAAGGCTTGGGGAGGCAAGCCTCCGCAGGGTATAATGACATAGACAGCTATTTTATCCATGGTAACTGATCTGTCACCTGGACAACAGTTGTAATTCTGAGTGATCTCCAGCCCTCACCTGGAGGCTGGCAATGGTAGTTCTTGTGGAGGAAATGGCTGGTTTGGAGGGTGGAGTCTATAGCATTATACCAGTCTGAAGTTCCTCCCCTCCTCAAAGGCTCCCTCCCTGAAAGACCAAAATAGGCCTTTCCCAGGCTCTACCCCTCAAATGTCCAGGAATTTCCCAACCTGGAGTTGGCAACCCTATTTCCTTCGCACCCAACAGCCAACCTACGTTTATCTGCCTCTCTGTCTTCAGCTTTCCATCTCCACCCCCCTCCCCCACAGCCTCTACTTAGGAAAATTACAGTCTTTCTCCACAGTTGAGACCAAAGCAGCTTACATTATTTTCTCCTCCTTTTTATTTGCAGAACAACCATGTGAGGTTGGTTAGGCTGAAAGTATGTGACTGGTCCAAAATTACCCAGTGAGCTTCCATCGCAAGATGGGGATCTGAACCTGGGTTTTGCAGACCCTACTTTGAAGCTCTAACTGCTGCACCACACTGGCTTTCATAGGGTGGCTGCTGTTGAAGAGTAGCAAGCAGCCAGGCCTAGTTGAGTCATGCAAATCAGGTGGTATCAAGTTACTCAGAGAGTGCTGCCTGAGGATCCCCTGGAATTACTGTTCATCTCCAGACTACAGAGAATGTCTGATGGAGAAAATGGATGCTTTGGAGGGTGGACTCTATGGCATTGTACCTCATTGAGGTCCCTGTCCTCCCCAGGGTCCACCCCCAAATCTCCAGGAGTTGCTCAGCCTGGATCTGGCAACCTTATCCCCTCCCAGAGGGGACCAGGCAACCCTGGACTGCTGCCAGGCCCAGGGTTGCTAACCTCCAGGTGGGACCTGGAGACCTCCCCCAGAATTACAACTGAACTCTTGACAGCAGAGATCTGTGGAGAAAATGGCTGCTTTTAACTCTGTGGCATTATACCCAGCTGAGGCCTCTCCCTTCCCCAAACCCAGCCCGATTTATAATCCACCACAAACTCTCTAGGAATTTCCCAGCCTGGCACTGGCAACCCTTGTCAGGCCTGGCCTGAAGGCTCCCTCCCTGAAAGACCAAAATAGGCCTTGAAAGGGCCCTTCCCCTGTCTTTTACTGACAGAACAAAGCCTCCCCTCCCAACATTCTAATCTCTCACCGTTGATGCCTGGAGTAGTTCCCTGTGGAGGCCATTTCAAAAGGTATTCAATCCTTCCCAAGTTTTTTTAAAGAAACTTTTTGGATCTTTCTGCAGAATCAGGGAGTCCCCTGAGTCTGTGGAAAAAGCTGTTGGGGGAAAGTGAGCCCTCTGTTGGTGGGAAATAAGAATCTGCACGGAGAAGGGACTTTGGCTATTAGTATATAGATTATTCTACTCACCCATGGACAGTTCAGCCTGTTTTTCCTCCAGTGTAGCCACTTCAGATATACTCCATGAAACACAATCTGGCCTTCTATACCGTCATTCCCCAGACATGCTCTACGTATTCACCTGAATAGTATCTTTGCAGTTTTTACAGCCATGAGTGTGTCTTTCCTGTACAGGCAAGTAGACTGAAATGTAAGAGAGTAAACATGCTCAGAATTACAACCAGAACAAAATCTGCAGATAACAAAGGAAGACCAAATTACAGCCTGTTACCCTGCAGGAAGTTTCTCCCTTGGGAAACAGAGACTGTGGGTAGCGTTCTGCCAGGTATGGGAGTTATTTTTCAGTGGAAGCCATATTTATTTGAATGGGAATGAGTATGCGTGTAATATACAGCTGAGTAAACCGCTCCACCCAACTTCCAAAGATATAGCTAGGCCTTTTCTAGCCCTCTGTATCTGTGTTTGATTCCACTTACAAAGAAATATCAATGTGGTGGTGGTGATGGGGAGACTTTGAAACATGTAATCTCTCTCCCCTGCATTCTGAACTGGTACAGTCCATGTTATCACCTCAGTAGTCATGATGCCTTATGACCCACTTCATTTGGCTGCATGTGTAGACCAATACTTATCCCATTGCTTTCAGTGGGGCATTTGTTACAAACCTACGCTTTTTACTTGGAAATAAGTACAGTTTTGTCCATTGTGGCTTACTCTCTTCTAACTCTGCTCAGCTTCTACCTGTAGTCATGACTGGCTTTTTCTGGATTCTCCTTCATTTGTGGGGAGGGGGGGGATCTGAATTTTATTCTGTGATCTCTGCAGCAATGAAGAGGATTATTGAGAGAACCAGTTTGGTGTAGTGGTTAAGTGTGCGGACTCTAATCTGGGAGAACCGGGTTTGATTCCCCACTCCTCCACTTGCACCTGCTGATGTGACCTTGGGTCAGTCACAAGCTCTGGCACAGCTGTCCTCGAAAAAGAGCAGTTTGTGTCAGAGTTCTCTCAGCCCCACCCACCTCACAGGGTGTGTGTTGTGGGGAGGGGAAGGGAGAGGAGTTTGTAAGCCGCTCTGAGACTCCAAGTGGAGGGCGGGGTATAAATCCAATCTCTTCTCTTCTTCTTCTTCTTCTTAGTGCTTCTTCAAGTAACTTTTCTTAGCTTATTAGACAGGCTCAATGTAACATTGTGTCCTTAGCTCTGTTGGAAAATGTAACATCATTGGGCCTTGAGAATTATTGTAATGCTTTTAATCTTCTTTATGCTGTGTTCTTTCTTGACTTCAGGAATTTAACACAGAGAACTTTGCCAGGCCAGAGTTTTGGTGTGCGTGTGGTGTGTTGTTTTGTTTTAAACTTTATTGATTAATGTTTTTAAGTGTCCCCAACATTTTTCTTTTAAAATTATTATTCTGGGTAGAAAGCCAAGAGTTAGAAGGTGCCCTTTCCCCACTGACTTCATGTGCTCATTTTTCAGAAGCATTTTTTATGCTTTAGGTCCTTAATGGCCACCAAGTTAAGTGCAATATGACAGTTTACCATTAACCAGCCTGGAAATGGCATGGGAAGTGATTGGCATCAATTCAAAGCCTGCTTCAAATGATTTCTGGCACTTACTACTCTGCTAGGAAAATTAAGCGAGGTGGGGGGAAAGAGAGAGTTTAAAATGCATTTAAAATGTCAGCTCTTCCTTGCATCCCAAGTGCAGCTGCTGCCTGTGTAAAGTTCAGGAACACAACTACCTTTGTAAATTTATTTCACTGCTTCTCATTTTAATTCGTTAAATGGAAAGAATTTTGTTATCACAGTTCAGGATGTTGTATGTTTTGCCCTTTTTACTGTCCTAATTACATTAACTTGTTTTTAAATCAGCACCTTACACAGAAGAACCTTTTCAGCAAATGCTCCTCTAGAGAGGAAAGGTAGGGTTGGGGTGTGTGTCCATTTGGTCACAGAAAGGATAAGCAGATAATAACCACAACAGAGTAGCTGAAGGTATGTGTGTTGTCCTTGTTACCTGGACCTCTCCAATCCCCCCCCCCCGTTCTCTTCCCCCATCAAAGTTTAGGGCAGAGGCCTCACAACTGCTTTAGCTCCCAATCTACTGAAAGTTCTAACTTCTTCTATATAGCCCTAACAGTATTTATGTAATTTGCTGCTACCCCTGATTTTTACTGTTTTAATGGTTTTAATGTAATGTAATTTTATTGTAATGAGTCTTTGACGCTGGTTGTTGGGATCTGTCCTGAGCCTGTTTGGAGAGGGTGGAATAAAAATCTGAAAAATAAATAAAATAATAAATAAATGCTATTTATGTTGATAAATTTTATAATGTTAATACTAATAAGTCTTTGTGGTATGATCTGAAAGCAGCAGAATGATGATTGTTGTTTTAAGCAAAACTACATGAAAATTACAGTTCTGCACACAAAATTTATGATTTGACTACTTAATGTACAAATGGGTAATCCTGGGCCAGCTTGCTTAGCTTAGTTTAAATTACCTCCCTGTATTATAAAGTGAGAGGGATGGTATATGCTGGCCTGAGCTGTCTGGGGAAAAGGCAGGGTAAAACAGAAAAATGAGCTCTTATTTAGATATACGCAATGCCACAGTGACATTTTAGCTTAGTGAACTATGAGAACAGTTTGCTCCACTTCACTTATGAGTTGACTATCTAGTTGTTGTGGGGTTTTCTTTGTTTGGTACATAAAATTGTATGCATAAGCTACACATCTTGTTCACTTGCAGTCACAATCTAAAAAGCTGCTTCTCGTGTACCTCATTAATCTTTCCCCCACTTTTTGATTTAGGTGTGGACCCTAGCCTAGTTGCTTTTAAAAACTCACCTTATTTCTGTCCTCTTCATTTGCCTAGACAAAGGTGAAAATGGGGAGCCTTATCAGAGGAGGAAAGGTGCTGGAGGAAGCCAGCTAGATGTTCCTGCTGTATCCCACACTCTCAAGGGGAGCACCCCAGCACCAACAAGCAGCAGCTGGAGGAGGATCATGCTTCTTATTTTAGCAATAACAATACACAATATTCCTGGTAAGCACCAATTTATTTAAGTCTGTGACTCTTCAGATGCTACTGGTTTATGAAAAAGAACTAGAGGAATCTGTGCAAACTTGTGTGGGGTGCACACAATTTTGTTCTTATGTGGTGTGTTGGGAGGTGCATTGTCTCATCCCTCTGTGAAGGAAACCAGCCCTTCTGGTCACTCTGGGCTTGGAGCTCTCCCACAGCCACTGACCAATGGTTGAGGAGTGTGTCTTCTCCCTTAAAAGGAACAGATAAGCAGCCAGTGGTGCTGGATAAGAAGGGCTGTGGTGTGTGGATGCCACGGTGTCAGAAAGTGAGTCGGTGATGGAGGAGGAGAGCAGGAGTCTTGGGAGGGGCAGATAACCAACAGTACAAGAGCCCCAGGGAGCAGTGAAGTTGGGCCAGACTGGATCACAGATCTGCATACATTTTGGAATGGCTGTGCTCTTTTTCATTTTTGTTTTCTGTTAACATGCTGTATTATCATTCCAAGTATTGGACAAGTTGGAGAAAATGACTTTCAGTTATAGGAAATCTTGTTCCCGAAGAGATAATCTCTTAAGTACTTTAATCTGTAGCTACAGTCCTTGAAATCAATATGAGTTTTTTTTCAGCTGCTTCACTGGTATGGAGACTGACTTTTCAGATAAACCTTATAGAGTTGGCAATGTGATATTTGTATACCTACCATGTCCTTACAAAAAGCAAATGGTATTGAATGTAGCCTAAAGTCTTTTTAATTTGAAATTCAGTATGCTTTCATGGTTACATTAACCTTTGAGAATTACATCTTTTTAAGGAAATGACCAAAATGTAAATGGTAAAGCATTGTATTTTATTAAATTGAGCTGTCATGGTTACTGATTAAAAAGAAATATCTACTAGTTTGAATACTAAAGGGCTTTAAAGAAAGAAAGTGGTTAAGACTCGTATACTCCAAGTGTCATGTTCCCACAAGTTTAATGTGTGGGTTGTCTCTTGGAAGAAATAGAACAAAGTTAAGAGTCCAGTGGCACCTTTGAGACCAACAAAGTTTTATTCAAGGGGTGAGCTTTCCTATGCACACACACTTCGTCAGACAATGAAGTGAAATAACAGATTATAGTGGTATATATAGTGGGTGGCTTGTTAAATTAGCATGCAAAATAGTGAAGATGTTTTTTAACAGATAAAAAGAATGACAAGCTTGGTTTCTGGTTTCTTCTTGGAAGAAATAAATGCCTTGTTCCTGCATTCAACATATACTGGTGAGCAAAATGGCCTTTTGAAGGGTATATATCCCTGCTTAATGAAGAGCCTATGCTGTTCTTCCTTTTTTGTTATCTTTTATATTCTCTTTGAACAGAAGTGTACATATTGCATATTAAGGTTTTCCACTCTCAAACAGATTGCATGAATGTAATAAGTAGCACTTGGTAGGCAGCGCAGTATGAGGCTTCCTAATTGACAAAGCATGAAGGAGGTTTTGATTCAAGAAAGTGAAGCAGCAGCTTCAACAAATGAATGAGAAATAGGTTGCACTCAGATATATTCATGTTTTTCCTAATGGCACAAGAAGTGGGACTGAGCACTGGGATGTCTGCAAAAGATTCTTTATCCAAGGCAATTTCACTCTGCTTCACTCAAGCCCTCAAATGTTCTTTGAACTATTTGTGATTAGATTTCTCTATCTTGTGTGGATTGAAGGATTCACAAAGAGAGTGGTGGTTGTAAAGAACCTTCTTCTTGCAGGTAGTTTACCATGCAGCACCTGAAACATAATGTATGGATAGTGGCTGCTTCAAGTTGTTGTTCAGTTGCACAGTCGAGTCCGACTCTTCGCGACCCCATGGACCTGATCACGCCAGGCCTTCCGGTCTTCCACCGTCCTCTGAAGTTTGCTTAACTTCATGTTCGTTTCATCTATGACAGTGTCTAACCATCTCATCCTTTGCCGTCCCCGTCTTCTTTGACCTTCAATCTTTCCCAGCATAAGGGTCTTCTCCAGTGATTGCTCCCTTCTGTCAGCAAGCTGCCATGGTGTTTTGTGTTGGTTGTATCTCTGTACAGTTGCTAAACCCCCCCCTGTCTGTGCGCCTGTATTTTACTCTGCTGTAATGCCTAAGCCAAACAACTGGAGGATGTATTGGGGGAGTACGCTTTACTGCCAGCTTGTTGCTTTTAGAGCCTGGGAACTGAACCTGTATTATGTCTGGAGATAGCCTGGTTCTCAGGGAATGAGCGCGCAACCGTTTCCTTTCACCCGCCAGCGGGAACGTGACCCATTGGTTCTGTACCTGTTTCAAATCCCTTTATTATGCTTGCCCTAACCGTTTGTAGTCAGTTCTAACAAAGAACGTGTTTGAGTGTCTTTCCAACGCTTTGAAATAAATTCTGCTTTTCTTTAAACGTGGATTTATTCTCGATGCTTGGGGATCCAACATATTGTTAGAACTCACTATCTTCCTATCGTCCC